CTTGTCAGCATGTCATGACCTTGAGTACCTTTCATTTTAAAGATAATCTTTTTTGGGGTACTTCGACGCAAAAATTTTGGTCTGTCCATCTGTATACACATTCGTCTGTTTGTCTACCGTAATACCTCAAATGGCCAACCCCATCTGCAGCGCCCACCAATACTGCTCAAGTTTCAGTGTTTGTACTTGTGCGTCTGTCAATTAAAAAGCAGTTATTACGCATATCTGAGGCATCATAACACGTCAATATTTTGTATGTGTTTTTGTACTAGAGAAGGCATAAATAATTCTAAGGACTCTACCAATTATCACACTGCGCTCACAATAAAATGCGATGCTCAAAAAAGGCAAGTGTTTTCAACGCTTTGCTAAGATGACACGGTGGTGGAATCTGCCCCTCGCTTTGCATTCTACACCATATCGCCTCCAAGACAGGCGCACATGTTTTCCTTAGTTTTCGAAGATAAACTGCCAGATAGCGCTCGTGCCTAACGTGCCCGATGCGCTCGTTCGCTTTCGCTGCACTGATCGAGACTCTTGCCTCCAGAATACAATTCATCGATTTTCTCGTGCAGAACATCAAATGAACGTTTTGTTCACTCTTTCCAGATGCAAGACTAGTCTTTAGACGGCATTTACAGTAAAACATGCCGACACGGAGCTTTTTTTTTTTCTTTAAATGCATGGCTTACTTTCAGTTTGATTGCAGAGCACACACGGGCACGTGGTGGCATCCCACAGTGGCCACAGTAACTGTGCAGATCATGATGCTCATATCGGCCAATGACTGTGGACTTTGAGTATATGGCATTGTTTGTAAAGAGACGAGGGAGCAATTTCTAGCTGACTAGAAAAATAATGCATGCTGCGCTATAATGTTGGCTCGCACGTTTTTGAGAGCTGCAACTACTGATCACCAATGTTTTTTTACCATGCTGAAAGTGTTGCAGGTTTCCCTTAAGGTGGCGATTCCTGCAAGGGGGAAGCCTGCTGGTCATAATGAACAACCTCCAAGACAGGGGCATCTTTATACCCTATGATGCCCCCCCCCCCCCCTTTTTTTTTTAAACTTTAGCAGGCATTTTGTTTGGGAGTCCTCAGTGTGATTATGGCTACGGGCTTGCTCGAATTGTGGCTACACACTTGTTCAGAGCGTGTCACATCGCCATCCACTAGCACTTTATAATCGCAGATTATGTGGTCTGTCGGGTATTGAGGGTCACTAGCTCGAGGTTTTGTTCGTACAAAGCTATGCAAGCTGGTGTGTTGAGGCTACAGCAGAGATAAGTATCTTTGTGGTGGTTTTTAAAGGCGAAGCATTTCGTTGCAAACCAAAGGAACTTTGTTTCTATCAATCTAGTTGCCTACATTTTGGTGCTTTTAGGGTTGTCGCCATGATTTATTTATGAGGAGTGTGCTAATATTCAAAATTTGAAATATTTTTTAAATATTGTTTGCCATTTGATTTGCTCCAGAATTTCACTATTGAAATTTCTCAAATTTCTCAGCGAAAAATAGTTAATATCCAATTAGCAGTGGCCCCTTCAAGTTTTCAATATGCTTTACCTCAGTGCTCTCCTTTTGCAGCAAAGCTGCCTCAAAGCAGCTTTGCTGCGTATGTATTGCAAATGTGTCGACTCCAGAAGACGTGGTTCCAACATGGAGATGATGAATGCGGCAGAGGTGGGGATCACTTAATATTTTGGGCCCGAAATATACAGTCAGGAAAATTGGACAACGAAGGTTTTAGCGTGTAGTATTTCAGATCCTATATATTGTCTTTGAGGCAAATTTGGAACTTCGGGCTCGAAGGGAGCACACCCTTGTCTGCCACATCAGTTGGGCTTCCACAGAAGTTAGAGGAAATAGCATCTTTGCCTTTCACATGTAAAGTGTTCCTGGCAACACTTGTGTTGCACTAAATTTTGCATGTAAATACGATTCGGCCTCTGCATTTCCTTTATATCCGTATTCATTTTGCACAGCTCTAGTATTTACCAAATTGGCATTGTAGGGCATGAGTGTAGGGTGAACATGATTTCGAGTCATGACATGGACAACTTAACCCTCCAGTTGTGTAGGGCTTAAATATTTTTTCTTCAGTCATGTGTCATACATACTGTCGTGGATCTCGGCCCTGTTCACCAGTTGTCGCTTCGAATCCCACCGCTGCAACCAGTTGCGGACAGGGGGTCTGCCCGGTCTTTTGTGGTAGCGTGGTGTAGCTTTGGGTTGAGGAACTGAACACTGACAAAATGGGGATACGAAAAACAAACAGGTTTATGGCACTATTTACAATTATTTACAGCATGAGGTAAGGAGTTCACAAACCACGAGCGTGGTGGTTGAACCGTTACATTGTTCAGAGCGACGTCCTGCACTCTACAGCGCCATTTTAAACCCTGTCGGGCTCCTCCTTGATTAGAACGTCAATCACACACACAAGACACCGCCCACAGGGCACTATTCAGTAGCACATGGTCCGCCGAATAGTTATTGCCCCTCTTGACGCAATGCTCTGAGGATAGGGCAAATGGGGTTCTCTCCCGGAACAATTTGGCGGTTGGGTTGCTTTTTCGGTCTTTCCCTGGACGGGCAGCCAAGGAGTAAACACTTCAATAGCGGAGACACGACCTGTGCAGCTGGTCTGCTTCACCGTCTCGCTAGACACGCCGGCCCGGAGGAATCGCTTGTAGGGACATTGGCTCGTGGACAGTCTTCTAATCGCTTTGTCGCTCCCTGCCGCTGGGTCCGAGAACCTGGGGTTCCGGGCATGGGAGCGCTGCCCGGCTACATTTCTCGGCGACAGCATGGAGCCTACTGACGACTGTCATAACAATACCTGCATACCACTGCCAGTAGAAAGAATAAGTTTTGAAATAATTGCGTGGTAGTGTGAAAGGGGCCCTGCAACACAAGTAGCCATGAAAGAGATTCAGTAAAGAAGCTCATTGCCTCATGAATTCAGTCACAAATTTAGAATACATTCATTCAGTGTAAGCAGAGTTAGGAAGACTTGTCGGACTCTGCAGTAGGTGACCAGTAAAATGGCAAGGGGTTTTGTGTTGCACCGTCTGCTGCCAACTTCCGGTTCGAGGAGAGTAGACAACGTTAAAGCGCTCCGCTGTAAGCCTCAGATTATTCAGGATTCGCGCGCGCTGTCTCCCATTTATCTTCGTCCAGCTAAACCATAGTCGGTTGTTCAGCCGTGGCTGTTCCAACTCGTGCGTGAAAGGCAAACGCATGTATCGATTCCCATGGAATGAACAAAGAAAAATTTAGTGGGCCATGGCTGTGAAGAGATCCACAGCGACAGGTAGCCTTCGAGTACGGATTGTTGAAGCCAGAGTGTGCGGAAACCATTTTATCGCAGGTACATGTGTATTTCACACCAAAAAAACCTTACGCATGGATTTGCTGGGAATATTATATTGCGAAATAAATTGTCGCGCAGGCGCACCTAGCAAGGATATTATGGGAATACGCGGGGGAAATCTACCTGCCATATGAGATGAGCACAGGCCATCGCACCGATATATATGACAAAAAATGCAAAAGCTTCACTCGATATATGACAAAAAAATGAGAAATCTTCACTCAATAGTAACTTTAGGCGAAGCGCTGGACGAGTCCATTTGCATTTATCGTGGTCAAACTGTGCGCCAGGATGGCACCCAAAAGAAGTGCATTAAGCAAGCGCAGGGTTTCGACTTTTCGGCGCTGTCTGTCTGACTGTATTGTTTATGTGCCGTCGTGCCGCACAGCTTGACCAATATCAGCGTTCAAATAAGCATGTGGCTTCGGCTAAGAAATGCATCATATAGCGCGCTGAAGGCTAGAAAAAGATATCTCAACGAGCTCAAAAAGTGCTGCGCTTCATGCCGATCGACCGACTATGTTGGACGAAGCAGCGATCCTAAAAAAGAACTCTTAGCATACTGCTGCAGTCATCCCCATCCCCCCGAGATCTTTAAAATAGTAATTTCTTTATCTGCTAGCCAAACTGACAGTACCCCTGAGCAGCATAAAAGCATTGCAGATCATTTTGGTGCAATAAAAAGTTTTCTTGCTATTCATGGCTTTCGTAGGTTATCATCGTTGCTGTCACGGTTAGCAAAAAAGAAAAAGCAACTTCTAAAGCATTGACATTGCACGGAGAGGTGCTTTTTTGCAACGGAGCGGTACAAAAATGCGTGCGTGCCATTGCTGGCCTGCATGGTGCGTCGAACCCGAAGCCATCGTATCCCACAGTTGCTTGCGATTGCCCATATTACCGATCACCTATTGCATTCTCTCTTTATGACTTGGCAAGCTTTAGTCAGGGCCCCGCCGCGGTGGTCTAGTGGCTAAGGTACTCGGCTGCTGACCCGCAGGGCGCGGGTTCGAATCCCGGCTGCGGCGGCTGCATTTCCGATGGAGGCGGAAATGTTGTAGGCCCGTGTGCTCAGATTTGGGTGCACGTTAAAGAACCCCAGGTGGTCTAAATTTCCGGAGCCCTCCACTACGGCGTCTCTCATAATCATATAGTGGTTTTGGGACGTTAAACTCCACATATCAATCAATCAATCAAGCTTTAGTCAGGCTTTGGTAGACTGCTGTGGAGTATGCCATCTGTGCCATCACAGAAGTGCTAATTTAGTGATGAACCATAAGTTGCATGCCACTGTAGTGGGTGTGCATGGTAAGCCCACTGTATGAACACTACTTGAACTGCTCAAACATGTCAATGCACCTTAGGCTTGGTTCAAAGAAAAAAATGGGGTGAGGGGGGGGGGGCTTAAGCCACTTTTTCTAGACTGCTTTACATGAAATGGATTTTAAGTGCGTGGGATCGGCTGGAATTTTATTTGCCTTTTAGCAAATAAAGTTCCACCCCATGTATATTGGTACCGTTTTCTATCTTTGAAAACTCTCAATTCAGAAGCATAGAGTTGGTAGGCACCGTGGTATTAAGTGGTCTCGTGCTTTCTTTGGATTTTTTTTAACGATTCGTTCGACAGGCGTAGTGCATTCCTGGACTTTGAGAGCCCTGAGGTAGCAACTGCACAGCTGGAGGTGCTGCGCAACATGCAGCTCAAGGGGCAGCCAGTGCAAGTGGAGCCAAGCAGACCTCGGAGCAATTCAACAATGAAGTCTGACCGTTTGTTGTATGTGCGAGGGTTCCCTGATGACAAAGGCATGGATGCTCTTGGACCACTCTTCCCTCAGGCCTTGCTCATTGACCGTCGTGAAGGGTATGTCGCACTACAGTAATATTAGCTTATACATTGCGAGCTATGTGTCTGCATTTTTGCATTTCTTGCAACCCATCTGTATTTACAATTTATTCCACCTTGTTGAAACTATTTTCTGTGTACATTTGTGTTCACACAAGATGTTGATTTTGCTTCTTTCTGCACCACTGCATACTGAAAAATCGGAAACTGTTCATAACTGCGTATTATCGTATTAGTAGTATAGCCGCGTCCAACAGCAAGTGGACGTGGGAATTCATAATGGCGAAACTAAAAGTGAAAGGGACTTCATTCTGTGTGCACACCCAGGCATTGTACCGAATATAGACGTAGTTGGCAAGATCTGATGCAGTGACCATGGTAGAATGGCAAGAGCTCATATTCATCTAGATTTAAGAGCAAAGGCATAAGCTAATATGCAAAAGACCAATTAATGAGCTAGCGGTGAGAGGAAAGTACAGGAATTCAGATATTCCCTTCAGAATAGATTCGAGGCATTAAACAGTGTCACCGGGGTGCTTGTTAAAGAACCCCAGGTGGTCAAAATTTCCGGAGCCCTCCACTACGGCGTCTCTCATAATCATATGGTGGTTTTGGGACGTTAAACCCCACGTATCAATCAATAAACAGTGTCACCGATGCTAGTGTTGACACAATCAACGATAATCTTATTAGTATCATCAAAGAGTGTGCAATGGAAATCGGAGGTACTCACTAGACGGGACACTGGCAAATTATATTAAGAGACGAAACATCTCATTCAGAGACTAGGTATGAAAGCCTCAAATAACACCGGCAAAATAGAGCTAGTGGAGATTTCGAAGTTAATCAATAGGCGTAAGGTAGCCTACATCAGAAGGTTTGACATGCAGAGAATTGAGCAGGTTCTAAAAAGCGGCAGAAGCCTAACAGCTGCAAAGACAAACTTATGCATAGGCAAAAATCGGATGTATGCATCAAGGGACAAGGAAAGCAATGCCATAACCAATATGGATAGGATAAGAGTGTCGAGGGGACAGAGGAGTTCTACAGAGAGCTGTACAGAAGTCGAAGCAACCAGGATGATATCGTAAGAAGCAATAGTAGCCCAGAGGAATTTGACATTCTACCAGTAACTACAGGTGAAGTAAGGAAAGCCTTAGAAAGAATGCAAAGAGGCAAAGTTGCTGGTGAGGGTAAGGTAACAACACACCTGCTGAAAGATGGCGGAGAAATTGTGTTAGAAAAACTGTTAGAAAAACTGAAGACTCTTAACGGAAAGGGTACCAGAATCTTGAAAGAACGCGAACATCTTAATCCATAAGAAAGGAGATGTCTAGGAAAAGTTACAGGCCGATGAGCTTACTGTTCGTTCTCTACAAATTATTTACAAAAATAATAGCTAATAATATAATTAAGGCGGCATTTGAGTTCAATCTATCAAAACACCAAGCAAGATTTTCTACAGGCTACTCCACAATAGGCCATATTCATACAATCAATCGGGTAATATACAAATGCTCAAAATAAAACCAACCCCTAAACATAGCTTTCATAGATTACGAAGAGGGGTTTGACTCAGTTGGGACATCAGCAGTAACGCAGGCACTACAAAATCGGGGCATTAATGAACCCTAAATAAATATACTTGAAGAAATCTACTGTGGATTCACAGCCACAATAGGATTCACAGCCACCATAGCCACCAACAGAATCCCAATAAGGTAGACACACGCGATTTCTCCAATGCTATCCACTGCGTGTTTGCAGGAGGTTTTCAGGACCCTAGATTGGGAAGACTTAGGGATAAGAGTTAATGGAGAGTATCTTAGCAACCTGCGATACGCTGGTGACGTTGTCTTGATGAGTAACTAAGGGGACGAATTACACGGAAAGCAGAATAGTAGGTCTCAAAATTAATATGCACAAAACTAAAATAATGTGCAACAGTTTCGTCAGAAAACAGCACTTAGGTGGAGACGCACTGGAAGTTGTAAAAAAATGTCTACTTAAAGTGATGGGTAGTATTAACCGCGGAGCCGAACCATGAGAGAAATGAATAACGAGAACAAGAATGGGGTGGATCACATTCGACAAGCATTCTCAAATCCTGAATGGTAATCTGCCACTAATGCTCAAGAGGAAGGTACATAACAGCTCCATCTTGCCGATACTTATCTATGGAGCAGAAACCTGGAGGCTTACGAAGAGGGTTCAGTTTAAATTGAGGACGACGCAGCGAGTAATGGAAAGGAAAATGATAGGTGTAACTTTAAGAGACAAAAAAGGACTCAGTGGGTCAGGGAACAAACCGGGGTTGAGGATATCAGTTGAAATTGAGAAGAAATGGATGTGGGCGGAAAACGTAGGCAGGATAACCGCTGGTCATCAAGGCTGACTGGATTTCCATAGAAGGCAAACTCGCAAAGGGGGGACATAAAGTTAGGTCAGCCGATGAGATTAAAAAGTTCGCAGGCATAATGTGGCAGCAGAAAGCACAAGGCCAGGTTGATTGGCAGATCATGGGAGAGGCCTTCGTCCTGCAGTGGGCATAGTCAAGCTGATGATGATCAGTATAGCCACCAGCTGACAATTCAGACTTTATTAGGATTGCTAAGCAACCAGCTATTCAGATTTAAAGACTATTCAGTCAGAAAATTTGTTTATTTATATTTTGCTGCCCTTGAGTCCAGAATAACTGGTCAGTTGGTCAGTTATTAATGTTGTACTATTAATGTTGTACTGAACTTCAGCATGCGAATTTAGTGGCACCGTGAGATAGCCATCAAGTCGGAAGCGTGGCTGAAACATCTTTTCTGTTTTATCAAAAGAGGTATAGTTGCATTTTCGTCAAGGTTGTGATTGCTCGAGCAGCAACTGTGATGTTTGATTCTAATGGTGCGATCATTGGCACGCATGCTATATAGAGAAGAATCGGCGAGAATGGCTCGTGAACCCTTTGACGTGGTACCGTCGTATTCTTACACCAGCGTTTTGTAGTAATGAATGGGCAAAGCAATAAATGGGATAACAACGAATTGTAGTGTAACACGAAGAGAGGCTGGTAGCTAACATTTTTCTCTCTTTTTTAATCGTATATCACATAGCTATAAAACTCTAGTGTGAGAAAGTACAGGCACTTCAGGGAGAGGAACACATCGCACAGTCTGTTAGTGATGAAAGTGCAGCACATTAAAGTGTGCGACCTGCAGTCTGGCTTCCAAGGTATCGTACATGGCAGCGATCGCAATGTGCTCTTTGAAGCAAAGTTTACTTGCTTCTCGAGTGGTACCTCCTCGCCCTCTTCTTTTCATGCTTAATCAAGACGGGCAGTGTTTCCTCGCTGCTTAATTGCAAGTCTCCAACATATAGGGTGATGTTATCGCATCTGCTTGCTGAGTGACTCAGATGGGCCAGCTCCTATGATCTCGGTCTGCTGCGTTTTGTTGCCCTCGCTCGTGCAATTTCACTCACGTGTAGAGCTTTAGCGTAGTGTTTGAAAAATGCAGCTTTGGACAAATGTCGCTTCTCAAGTGCTTTGTAATAGGGCTAAATATACTTTTAATGTTCTCTCTTCTCTAAACTTGCTCGACAAGGCGTTTCTGGCTGCTAGGAACCAGTTCCAAAATGTCTGATTCTAGTCGGAAGCAATGTGGAAAGGGTGGCGAGCTCGTGGTATGTTAACACTTAGCTGCAGTATCGTTTCTGTAAAGTAGTGGTGTATAGCACATTAGTGGCTGCCAGTGGTGATATGAACTTGCGTAGTGTGCACAGCCACACTCAATGACCCGTCAGGCTATGTAGTTGCAGAGATATCGGTTGTTACTTAGGCTGCCATCATGCCATGCCTGTACTATATGTAGGTGGTGTTGGCTGCGCATTTTGATACACGTCCTTCACTTACTTTGTTTTTCGTGCATTTTTCTTTGTTTTGGCATCTCTAGTGGCTGATTGCACGCAATCATCTGCCATTTGACTGCAACGCTAGCAGAGCGGTTCAACGGACAGGGAAAAGAGCTTCCCTCCTTTCTCATCCGGTTTCGACAGCTCCATCTACATATATCACCTCCATTTTGAGGCGATTTGCGACGCGCTCACGTGTTCGAGCTCATATTGCTCACAGTAGCACATGCAGGGCTTCAGTGCCATGTGCGGTGCTAGCTGCAGAGGTGGAGTATGTGCCGTGCCCTACTGGTAGATACTATGTAGTACCCTTGAACTTAGCATAGTAGTTTCCTACATAGTTTCCTAAATACACTAGAGGGAACTCTGGCGCTAGTGTCTAGGGAGCTTCAGCGAGCATGGGACTGACGGGTAGTACACGGATTTCTCTAATTTTCGTAGTTCTGGCTCCCCGTTTGTTCGTGTGGATTGGAGCTGTTTTCTCGCGAAACAAAAATCGCCGAATGTGCAGCAGTTGTGCTTTATGCTTTTAGGCTTACCATTTTAAATTGGGTCACGAAGCTCAGGAGTGTTCATTCTTTGTTTCGAAACAAAACCGAAACGCAGCTATAAACGAAGCCACAAGTGCGATTCACTACCTGCAAGTGGTCGCTGAACAATCGCAGCGCCAGTCCCTTGTAATTACTATGTTTACTCGCTTAATGAATTTTTTTTTTCTTTCAAAAATTGAACCGAAGTTGGGGGTGCGTTTATTATGCGGGGCAAATTTTATGAAAAATTTCTGCAGGTGAGCAAAAATGGGTAATGCAAAAAAAAGTTGGGTCACTTAATCTTTCGCAATTGACATGTGTAGTGTTTGGTTGCAGGTTCTTTGTTGCACTTCACTCATCTTCGGTGGTTCATGGCACTGCCTTCTGCATGCTGTCCTCACACTGCCCGCCCATGCCATATAAGCGTTTCGCGGCTATCTTTTTTCGCAATTGTTTAACTGATACAGTGGTATCTACTGTGATATCGAGGGGCGCTGCGACGCACTTTGCTAACTTCGCGGCAACCTAGCACGATGACAGTGACGACGCCGTTAATATTGTAGCAAGTAATCAACATTGCAGCAAGCTACCACCGAAGCATCAAAATAAACTGTCGATAACCAGATTAAGGACAAAATACAGCTGCCACCTCGATGTCCACATGAGAAGTTACTGTGGAAAAACTAGACTCTTTCGTTCCCTGAACTATGCGCAAATAACACGCACAAAGATGGAATTGCAACCAGAGCGAGAATCGGGGATGCTACCGTTTTAGGTAATCTGTCACGATCCTTTCTGGGCGACAAGTGACTTTCTTCTGGTTTTTCAGAAACCTGCGATGCAGTGGCGACGAATGGCCCTTTACGACGAATGGCAATTAGTCTTAGAAAAAAGTCTAATGCGGAACCTGTTTAAAGCGAGCAGGTGCTGGCTAATTAACTATATGAAGAGGAAAGGCTCTTCCCTCCGAAGGGGAACATGCATATGCAAAAACTTTTGCGGAGAAGTACGATGAAAAGCTTTAGTTTTCAGAGGTTCGTCCTAAACTTGCGGCGCAACAACGGCTACCTGCTTGGGCAAATCTGGAATGCCGATCAGACGCCTCTTTACTTTGACATGCCTGGCACCACAACTGTCGAGAAGAAGGGGGCGAAGCAAGTTCGCGTGCTGACATCGGTCCACGGTAAAACTACAGTGACGGCAATGCTCTGTTACACGTCAGATGGGCACAAGCTTCGCCCGTACCTCATATTTAAATGGAAGACAATCCCGGACGGAATCGTTTTTTCGAGTGGTGTGATCGTGCGGGCCAGCAAAAAAAAAATGGGTGCGCGTTGCAATCGATGTCTTACGTTTTTTCCCTTCGCGGTGGAAATCGGTGCGCGTTACAATCGAGGGCGCGGTAGAATCGAGTAAATACGGTAGTTTGCGCGGGCAGTTTTCTGACCTTCGCTCGCTGTGTGCTCATCAGCTGCGATGTCTCTACACTCTCACCGTTCATTAACCCCACTGTGGTGCATAGATAATTAGACTGCGGACGTGCCGCGTATAAAAACAATACGACATGCGGCAGCGGGCGAAGGTGCGGAGGGAGTAAGCCGAGGTGGCGGAATTGGGTCGGCATAATAAAAACGGAAGAGATCCAGCGGGCAGGGAGGCGCCATGTGTTAATTAGCGGGACTGCAGCGGATGAGTTTAGGGGGTGCGTTGATTATGCGAGTGCGTTCATTACACGAGCAAAAACTGTAATTTGAGGAAACTATCATTTCCTATAGTGTGGTGCACCAACAAACCTTGAGCTTAAAACTTCTTGGCATGGTTGGCACTGCTACACAGCATGCTCCATGAGCACAAAATGTGGCTGGATGTGGCGTACAACACGGCAGCATCCAGCAGCAGCAACAGTTGCAATCAGCAATGCCGGAGCTGAAATATTGAGGCAATATGAATGGCCTGGGAACCTGATTTCACCGCATTTAAGGAATGCACCATTTCTGAGGCCTTGACTTCACTAATCATTGACAGCAACACTAGTGTAGTTGGCAAGCACCACAGGTGTAGTCCATAAATGTTGAGGAAATGGAATCTAAAATATGGAATGGAGAGCCCTATATAGGTCTGAAGTTTCAATCATTGCATTGCATGGTGTCTAAGGAAATAACAATGGTGCCACAAAAAAACAATAAAAAAACGAGCATATCCTATTTATTGGTGATTGGCTATCTGTGCATATGAAAAAGAGAAATGTAGCATAAATCTATTCCTTTTTTTTTTTTTTTTCAGGAAAATACTACTGAGATTCAAGGATCATGAAAGTGCCATAAGTGCTATCAAAGAAGTTATTGCTCATGATGGGACTGACTACAAGTTCAGCTTTGCCGCTGGTGAGTATCGCACTTTTTTTCATGATACTATCTGCATTATTATCTATACAACTGGCTAAATTTTCTAGAAACTAGAAAATTGGAACAGCCGAATTGGAGGTACTCAGCAAATCAACTGACATCATGGCTCCATTGTATTTTCATCAACTAAGTTTCTCGGGGCTTCAAGCACCATGCATAAAATAGTTGAACCCTGCATTTGTATTTTCCCATGACCTTTCTACCATGCTTAGTTGATAGCCATAATAAACTAAGCAAAATTTTTATGCATTCGGAAAGTGCTAGGTGTTTCAAATTTATCATTGTGGATGTCATGATAGTTATGCTGGGAATACAGCTTTGTGGATGAGATGTTACACAAATTTTAGGATTAGGTGTTTTATCCATCATTTCTCCTTTTTTTTTATCATGTGGGTAGTACTAGCTTTTCAAACAAAGTGGTTTATGAAGGGAATGTGGTCCTTAGTTGCGCATTGCCGACCGAGTGTAATATGCGGTGTGCTTCAGAGCAAGGTATAGACAAGAAAATGGCATTCATGTATGCGTGTTAGACATGTAGTATACTGCTGGAATGAACCTTGCTTGATTAAACCCCAAATTTTGATCACGACAATGAATTATTTTGTGTCCGTTCCGTAGTACACTTCTACTTTGGTTTTTGCCTCCCTTCTGGGAAGTTGGAAAGCTGTGCCTGTTTCCGTGTGATGTGCATTTTCATCAATTCTATTGCCGATTGAATTGCAGCTCGTCCTAGATGGAACCGCCGAGGCCCACCTCGATCAATGTGGCGCAGATACCCGCAAGGCAAGTTCATCAAGCATGAGTCAAGGCAAGACTGAATTCTGCTCAGACAAGTGCCGCCCAGCCATTCTCCTTGTTCTGCAAAGTTGTGCAAAGGGAAGAATGGCACTGAAAAGGAAGAATGGCACTGAAAAGGAAGCAATGTGCAATGACGAAAATGCTGGGTGGTGTTACTGGATTGTCAGAGTCTAGATTGTTAAACATTAAGTTTTTGTTTTTCTTAAGTTATTTTATATTTTATTTTGTTTTTATAAGGACAACAAATAAAGAGTGCCTTAGCAGTACAAGGCTGTGTGGTGAACTGTCTGGCTTTGGATGCCAATTCTTGTGCGGAACATAATGCACTGTGCCCTGTTCTTGGGATTCTGCAATATTGTTGCCCTGCACGTAGTGAGGGAGCTACAGGGATGAACTGACTTGCAGCTCATTGTGCTTGGTGCTGCATTTTACTGGCTTAATTTTATATTCTATCTATAGTTTGACTTGACTGTATGCATATGCTGCATAGAAGTCTGGCTAGCTGTGCTGATTCATCCAGCCAATCATCTGTGGAAGCAGCAGTATGATTAAGTATAGTGCATTTTCTGAGGCATTGGGTGCTTTTTCGTGGCTACAAAATGTTTATGGCATGTTCTGCTTACGTTGCAAACGGGGAAGGAAAGGGGAGTCTTTTTTTTTTGCAATTACTTGTCATTGGAGTGAAACATTACTGGTTTTGGCAGCACGAATGGCCAATTCAGGACAGTATTTTCAAAACCTGCTGCTATTGACCAATTGTGTGAAGCTCTGTTGTTACTTAATTAGTAGTGTATTGTGTTGGCACACACATATTTCTTAAATAATACAGTGTGAAGCGGGCCTCAAATCTTTGTGTGCTGGATTGGAATGAACTGGCAGCGTGGGTATTGGGGTGCGGTGCAAAGCACCTGAACTGTCCTTGTTGTTCAGAGACTGAGGACCCCTAGGTATCTTGGTATGCTGCGACACTGCAGCTTTGCAGGATGCATTTGACAGTTTTAGCAAAGTCTAGTGCACTCATCGTTATGCATTGACGTCGCATCCCATCCCAGTGCAGGATATTGCATAGAGTTCATGTTTTCATTAAAAGTGTGCCTTGCCAAAGAGTGTTCAAAATGACTGCAAAACGCCGGCGAAGCAAAGGAGATGAACCCTAATGCTGCTCTCAAGAACACAGTGGTAGAGCAATGCGTACCCTGGTAGTTGAATTTTTCCTGATTTCACTTTCATTTCACTCAATCTTTTTGCAATAACTTTTACATACAAAAAATTAGTTTTAGTTCGAAATAAGTTCATATAACGTGTTACACTCTACTAACGAGCGCCCCGAATCTCGTGAATGTAATTTATCGGAAGTCTGCATGTACTTCTCATCATTCCCATTTTGGCACAAGCGCTGCTGAAGGAACCCGCATACTCTCTAGTGCCCAATTCCCCTCTAGGTATTATATGAAACTCTGATGCTGTCGGAGCTATTTGCGTGTGTGTGTGTTTCTTTATCGGCAAAGGGTGCTAGCTTTTTGAATTATGAATTGCAAAAACCAGCCTGTCATGGCCCAACCAATGTGCCTATGAGCTGCTGATTGGCCTCATTTTCCTCGTTATAGATGCAGTGCTTAGTTTGCTTAGCACACAAAGAAGTCTGAGAGCTGATGGGAGTGCTGAAAATGCAAAGTTGCTCTTCACACGCCTGTGTGGTTCAAAGCTTTTCACATACTAAAATCGTACTAAAACAGACGATGCAGTAAATAATTGATTACATTTAAAACACTTGTTACGAGTCGGGAAGTTTTTGCAGATTTTATTATATGCACAGACTATGGGCGTAGCCAGGGGGGTGCTGGGGCTGGTTCATCACCCCCTTCCCTCCCAAGATTTTCATTTTGCTTGTGTATAAGTACACGCACACTAAAAGCATATCCACATGCATACATAAAGTATGGTTGAATCCTCCACCCCCACCTCTTAAAACATTTCTGGCTACGCCTCTGGCGCCGATCCATGCCGCCTACAGGCTGTTGCGACCCCACCGCTGATCACCAGTTGTTGCGGCTCGGGGTGCTGAGTCGTATCCCACCGTTGATCACCAGTTGTTGCGATCCCGGTGAGCTGTGGTAGCGTGGTGGAGCTTCGGGTTGAGGAAACGACCGCTTACAAGATGGGGATACGAAAAACAAACAGGTTTATGGCACTATTTACAAATATTTACAGCATGAAAGGTTAGGAGTTCGCAAACCACGAACGTGGTGGTTGAACCTTTACTGGGTTCAGAGCGACGTCCTGCACTCTGCGGCGCCGTTATAAGCCCTGTCGGGCTCCTCCTTCTTCAGTCGAACACCAATCACATACACACAACAGGTGAGGGGTACGAGCAGGCACGGCGCACGTGAACAGCCAATTTCGAGTCAAGATCACTGCACTTAAAGGTGGCGCCAGAGGGGCTCTTGCTCGTCGTGTGTGTCACTGGTCGAGGGATCCCAAGCTTCGGACAGCAGAGATCAAACGGTCCGCCAACCTCTCTGCTCAATTAGCAGGGCATTTTGTGGCGGCGGTCGCCGTTTCTACAAAGGAAGACGCTGTCTTTGTTGTCCCCTCTGGAACGGCTTACCGCTTCGTGGCGACGTGACGTCTCATCCGCCGGCTAACAGTGACAATACCTGGCGGGCATAAGCATTCGGCGAGTCGGCTACTTGTTTGAGGGTCAAAAGAGCGCCGCTCCCCCGTCAGATCTCGACGCTGGTTCCAAGAAAACCTGGGTTCCAGGCGTGGGAACGCGGCCCGGCTACGCTTCTCAGCGACAGCATGGCGCCTACCGATGGCGGTCGTAACAAGGCATTCAAATTTTCTCGCGTAATATTAAACAGCCGTAGAGCACAAAAGCCAATGGGTAAACCCTTTGAGAGGTCTGTTTTCCTCGTGGTAACAAATTATGCCTACGGAATATTTAAACGCATTTAGAACTGTATGGGAAACAATTTTCAACAAAATACGACCTTAGTTTGCTAGAGGAAAGTGGGAAGTATGGGTCCCATTGACCCATGGAGAGTTTGACAAAGTGTGAATTGTCTTATGAGGGCACTAAGCTCAAATTTATATGCCAAATTTCTTGCAAGAAAAGACCCAATTTCAATAGTACTTCAAAAACTGCGAAGAAAAATGTGGTGGACCTTATTTCCAGATGTTGTACACAATCTGCGCTTCTGCCTGTTGTGTTAAACACAGCGCTGTTTGCGACGTGGGCTCATGTGATGCAGAGAGTTGATGCTGAACAAGTGATGCACCTTGTGTGTTACATTGCATACTATGTGTAGCAATGGAGCATATTCTTGCATGAACTGGGAACTACGCAAAGTAGTTGAAGTGGCATCCCAACTCTGCCAGAGGGGAGGGGGGGCAATGGGACCATGGTGGTCTTTTTCACCTGTCAGGTGGGGAGTACGTGCCACTTAATTCAGTTGCTTGAGAATAAGCACTTTTTTTTTTGATGGCTGCATTCACGCAGTCTGTTGCAGACATGAAGCAAAAGATTAGGGAAATGTTGCAGGTCAGTTGTGCTGAGCTTGTTAATGCGATCAGTTACATGCCTTTAGTGCTCAACTCGCTGCAATAAATTATAAACCAAGTCAACCAAAAGCAGCAAAAAAACTCGCACTGGCTAAGCCCTGTGTTCTGTAGACTTTTTATTGCACAGATCAAAGAAACTTGCTTCGTGTACAATTGTGTTTTTAACTAATCTTTTTCTTTTCCGCCTACTAAATGTACACACGACACCTTTACTAGAAGCCAGGGGATAGTAAGAGGTCCAAAAGAGCGGGCAAGTTTTTAACAATGTGAATAGGCATTGAATATGACTTGAATAAGTTGCAGTGGCATATATTTAAATTAGCAAAATGACTGGTCAGAAGCAAGAAAAAAAGAAAAAACTGGGCTCTACTTAAACGACATGCCCGACATGCCTCGTACAATATTACTATTGCGCTGTGCTACTTTGTATGCAGCTTGCTGCATGTTAATGCATGTGAAAGCTATTTTTCAAAGAAAATAATGAAGTCAACCACTTATTATTGCACACATTTGAGAAAAAGCTATCAGCGTTTGTGGCACACAAAAAAGGGGGAGTGAACCATGTTTGTCGAGCACAAGCATGGCTGCGCTGTTCGACGTCGGCTCAACGCCACGGATGGATAGATGTATCCGGCTGTGCCCTTTAGATCGGGCAGGGACCGGGCAGGGACTCATGCCACCTAGCCATAAAGTTAAGTACTATCACTGTGTGTTGGAGGATTCAACTTCACGCGGGCCTTGATTGTAGCCACCAATCACTTAGCCTCCTCCTGGTTAATTCTACCCTTTTTAATTTTTGCCTTCACTGTCCCTAAACCCCAATGCTTTAAAAAATTCAATGCCATTATCTTGGACTACAAGGTGGAGCCCTTTACAGAATATTATCGAATGTTCAGCCTGTTCCTCCTCCTTTTCACATGCGCTACATACCGTGTCTGTGCCTTTGTATTTTGCTCGGTACGTCTTGGCCCGCAATACTACTCCCGTTCTAGCCTCGAACAGCAGAGAACTACCCCGAGAATCATCGTTCCCTTGCAATTTCCTGCAATTTTCTGCTTAAAAGTTTGGTAGGTCTCCAGTAATGATTTCGTAAGCATTCCCATTTTCCACATGTCCCTCTGTTTCTTTCACCTTCTTCTTAACCGATGTTTCCTTTAGGCGTGGTATTCTGCTGTTGTCTAAATACCTGCTTGACAATTTTAGAGTTCGCTTCTTTCATTTAGTATCGACATTCTACATGTACAAGTAGCTGAAAGCTTTGCTAGCCCAATGCTCCTCTCCCATTTTTCTCAATCGTTCCCCAAATTCTATTTTGCTGCTAGCTTCCCTGCACTCAAACGATGTCCATCCCATGTCACTCTGTACCCCCTGATTTGGGGTATTCCCGTGCGCTCCCAAAGCGAGTCTGCCTATGCCACGTTGTTTAATTTCCAATATTGCTTGAGACTGATATCATGCACAAGACTGCATTACCGAGCATCAAACCTGGGACCATGATGCCTTTCCGAATCCCTCTCGCATACAGCGTCATACCTATTGTAGTTCCACAGTGCCCTATTTTTCAATACCGCTGCATTCCTGTTACCCGAAGTCGTTAAGTATCTTTTGTGCTACCTTAGGGACTAAGCCCCGTTATTCATCCATATGCCCAAATATTTGTATTTACCCACTATTTCTAGTGTGACTTCCTGTATTTTATGCTCACTGCCTTCGT